GGTGCCCGGTCTCTTGCGACGGCGTCCATTCGGGTGCGGGGACCGGGTGGAGGATAGCCATCCATGGGGAGTAAAATCCCCATGGTTGGTGTGCTGGTCGCCGTGGCGGGGAGGGTGCGGAGCGGGCGCCGGCTCCGATACCCAAGCCGTCCATGGGGCCCCCCGAGTGGCGTCGCCTATTTCGGTACCCCTGGAGTCGGAGACAGGGGACCCCCGAAGGCTCGAGGCCTTGCACCTAGCCGAGAGCAAGTAAGGGGCGGGAACTCCGTGCTCGCGATGCCTATCCGCGAGCCAGCAGTATACGTCGTTTCCGTCGGGGGAACTCGGGGACCTAATGATATTAGGGAGGGTATACCCTGGACGATTTAGCCGGAATGGGTAGTGGGATCAAACTCAATGAATATTACCGACAATACTAAGACAGAAAAGAATAGGGAGATTGGAAGTAGTAAGAAGGAGACTACGGGAAGTAGTATGGAAAAGGATAAGCTTACTCCAGTCGATACATACACCACAACAGTGAAACAGGAGGATAGGAATTATTTATTCAGAAAACCGGGACAACGATCGTATAAAACAAGATCTTCGGATAGGGGTAGTGTGAATTCAATGTCTATGGATACAGATCCAATAATGATCGACTCATCCGACAGTGACCTAGACTCATCAACTAGGAAAAGAGGAGATGCTGTGTCAGACGAAGAATCAGATGCATCCCCTCCGGGAAAGATAAGCTTGATGGACGAGGATTCTCCAGGCCCTTCGGGAATTAGGAAAAGGGATAGGTCTCGAACTACGAAAAGTAGAACTACCGGGGATTACGTAGGTAGAAGGGAGGCCATTCGTGAATACAATAAGGCAAAGGAAGAAGAACTCCAACTGGATAGAGAGAGAATCATTAGGGAGTATAGCAATTCCGAGTTATTCAAAAAATCTAAGATTAACCTAGACAGAATTAAAGAACAAATGGAGGAGTTAACCAATGAGGAACTAGCCGAGAAAGCCAATGGTAATCTCACAGAGGTGCTGAGAATAGCCAGATCTTCGAACAATTTAAAAGGCACCTTTCAAAAGAGCTTAAGACTGGCGGCAGCCTCTTCCATTGGGATAGTGGAGGTGTTTAAGGATAGAACCACGCTCTCACGAGAGGATGCGCAAAGTGAAGAAGTTCGATCTCTCAAACGAGAAATTGCGAATTTAAAAAAGAGACTGGAAGACGAAGTGGAAAAAGAAAGAAGAAAAGCCCTACAATCCGCTGTGGAAGCAGAGGTATACAAGAAGGAGTTACAATCCCTGAGGCAGGTACAAAAGAATAAAAAAATCAGCCCAAAAGGGGATAAAAGTAAGAAGATATCGGAGACTGCTAAGGGAAGCCCCAAGCGTATATCTTCGATGAGTCTGAGAACTCGACAACACCGGATCTCAATTGACTCCGAACAAATGGATGTCGATCCGATACCGGGGACCAGTAAAATGATACTGGACAATCCTCAAGATTGGCCGGAAGTGAGACGCCCCTCGATTCAAGGAAGAAGGAAGTTGATCGAGGATGATCCAGATCAAAATAGGGTTATCTACGAGGCCCATAGGGAATACAGGTCTAAGATGTGTTCTTTCATGGCCGATTGTGTTACCGAAGAAAAACAGACCGAGAACATAGAAGAGACTGGCAAAAATACCCCTAGAGCGTTAGCCGATATGATCAGAGAGATCGTAGCCGAGGAGTTAATGAAACAGAGGAAGAAACCTACGATCAAAGAAGTTCAAATATTGAACACCCCGATCAGGATATCTAAATCTAAAGTAAATAAGGAAGAAATTAACAAGGAGAAGGATAAGAGCGTAGAAAAGAAGATCCCTAAAAAATCCGATAGACAGAATAAGGAATCGATCAATAAGGACGCGGATTCATCATGGACCAAGGTGGTTAATAAAAGATCAGCCAAAAGCACAAGATCGAGAATAGATAAATCTCCATTGGTTAATAAAGAGACTCAAAATAAGCGGCAGGAAAAAAATGTTATCAGAAATACTAGACGGATTCCGAGAACGGCTGCGGTTCAAATAAGTTGCCGCGGGGAGCAGAATTACGCTGATGTCATGCGTTTAGCTAAATCCAAAATAGACATAGATGCTTTAAACATTGGGGAAATAAGGCCTAGAAAAACCAGATCGGGAGCTTTGCTGCTCGAGATTCCTGGACTAGAAGGTACCGACAAGGCAAATAAACTGGCGGATAAACTAAAAGAGGTACTTAGTGAAAAGGGAGATGTCCTGATAACTAGGCCGGAGAAGATGGCCGATATTAGGATCAGGGATCTTGAGGAGTCTACTTCAAAAGAAGACATCCTGGGGGCCCTGACTACCGTGGGGGAGTGCTCCATAGAAACACTAAAGCTTGGAAACATAACAACCGCGATGAACGGGTTGGGGACATTGTGGCTTCGTACCTCGCTGGTCGTGGCGAAGAGGCTGACGGGGAGTAGGAGGATCCGGATCGGATGGACGACGGTTCGAATCGACCTGCTCCCGGAGAGGAGACCTCAGTGCTTTCGTTGTCTCGAAACTGGCCACGTAAGGAGTCAGTGCCGAAGCGAAATAGATAGGGGCATGGTGTGTTATCGATGTGGACGGGCTGGACACGTAGCCAGAGGCTGTATTGACCAGGTACACTGTATTGTTTGTGCCGATAAGAATTTAAAGGCAGATCACAGGATGGGTGGACCCGCCTGTAAACCGACAGTTTTTAGAAGAATGGACGCAAGTGGACCGAATACGAGCAACAGGAGGGATTTACCCATTAGGAAGGCTAGTGCGGAGAACGAATTCCCTTCCTTGAGAAATAAAAGGGAGAGAGAAACAAGCGTCGTCAGATCAATGGCAGCCTGCAGTGTAGAGGATGAGACACCACCGAGAGATGGGAGTAGACACGAAGGCATGGACGTCGAGATGGACATTCAGGAGCTTCTTCCTGATACTCAGCCACTCGAGTTGGTCGCGGAATGGCCACAGGAGGGAGACGGATGGACAGACGTTACACATCGAACGAACAGCAAGGAAGATAAACGAGAAGGAGGAAGCTCGGAAAATAAAACTGTTAATGGTTAATAGTATTTTACAAGCGAATATAAATCATTCTAGGGACGGACATGATATTCTGTTACAAACAATGGCAGAGGGAGATTTTTCCCTGGCGGTGGTCTCAGAACCATATTATATTCCGGCGGATCACCCTCATTGGGTATCCAGTAAGGAGGGAAATGTCGCCATAGTATGGAGACGAACGAAGAACGTGCTACCATGCTCGCCATTCATGAAAGGCGATCGATTCGTGGCAATTAAATGGGGCGACATGGTCGTGGTTGGAACCTATCTATCACCCAACACACAAGCAGGTGTGAATTTGAGAATGATCTCGCGGAGATGGAAAGGTGGATATCACAAATACAAGACAAACCAGTCTACGTAGCAGGAGATTTCAACGCTAAGTCAGAAATGTGGGAGTCCCCGATTACGAATCTTAGAGAGGCACTGGTTGAGGAGTGGGCGAGCAGTTTAGGCTTGTGCTGTCTTAATTGTGGTGGCAAATATACTTGCATCAGAACTAACGAAGAGTCCATTGTGGATCTCACTTTTGCGAATTCTATGGCAGCCAATAGGGTTTTGTCTTGGAGGGTGTCTGATAGAGAGTCTAAGTCTGATCATTTGTATATAGAAATTAGAATTGAGGATTCGCATGTACAGACTAAAAAAAAAAGTATGCCATGCCCAAAACGTTGGGCAATCAAAAAATTGGATCAGGATTTGTTCATTGCGGCCACGCTGGCCGGAAGCTGGCCAAGCACCATGATAGAGGAGGAAAGATGTTTGGATACACGTGCGAGGAACATCCAAAAAGTGTTGACCAGAGCGTGTGATACGGCTATTCCCCGAGCTGAATTTAAACCACGCAGGGCTATGCCATGGTGGTCTGACGGGTTGGCGCAATTGCGAAGCAGAATGGCCTCTACAAGAAGACGCCTTACGAGATTGCGCAGAGGTGCTCGTCAGGATTACCAAGAGATACAGGATAGACTCCATGACTATAGACAGGCAAGGGATACTTTCGGTAAAGCAATCAGGAAAGCCAAAGCGAAAGCCTGGGAAGAGTTCATTGAATCACTGGACGAGAATCCTTGGGGACGTCCATATAGAACTGTCCTCAATAAATTGAAAAGATGGACACCTCCGTTTACGGAGTTGCTAGATGAGGAAGTCCTGGACAATGTTTTGACCGGGTTGTTTCCTACATCTACGGATAATACAGATGATTGGTTAGAACCGAATCTGCCAATCGAAGGAATAGGCTCTTGGAGGGCTGAATTAGAGGTCTCCCATGAAGAACTCGACTACTCAATCAGAAGAATGATCAAAAAGAATGCAGCTCCAGGCCCCAGTGGGATCCCCTCCAAAGCCTGGGCTCTGGCTTCCACCGTCTTGGCGGGAAGCATGAGAAGATGTTTTTCGGAGTGCCTAAGTATGGGCACTTTTCCGGCGTTATGGAAGAACGCTAAGCTCGTCCTGTTAAGA